CTATCACTTCTAAACAGTGAGCGACTAGCCTGATATAGAGCAGCAGCTCTCAGAGTGCTTTGGCATGCCAAGGAGCAGTGAGGTCCTTTTAAGAGTCCTGCAGGGTTCTGCACAATTTTAACACTGTTAGGTGTGTAAATCACATAATTCACAAGAAAAAACACCAAGATTTCAAATGGGAACCCAGTGTCAAAAATATTTTAACCAACGTGAGTTCTTTGCAAAAAAATTGCCCTATTTTTCCATAGTCAAGAAACAAGTGAAAGCTTAAATAGCTTCATTTTCCAAGAGGAGCCTTGAGTCTAAAAAGGTTGAGAACCACACAGAGAATCAGAACAAGTAAACAGTACTGAAATATTTCAACCCACCCTTACCTTTCCCAGCAGTTCTCTTCCCTCATCCTTTCCTTTCCTTTTTCCTAACTTTTGTATTTTAATCACTTTCTTTATTTTTGCTGAGAACTGTTGCTCTCTGAAAGCCCACCCATAGCATTTGGCAAAGTACGCTGTTGCCTCCAACACACATGCCACTCTAAATGAGCAAGTATGTGTCTGTTGTGGCATCTTAAACTGCTTTGAGATGATGCCACAAGAGGCACACTGGGGAAAAAAAAAGTTCCCCGTGCTGCATATTTGCAGCGCGGACTCTAATCTTGATACTGGGAAATCCCAGTATCAAAAAAATAATAAAATAAAACCCAACAAGGTGCTAGCAGACTGATAGCATTAATTCACAAGAAAGGAAGCAGCACCTTCCTTATCCCATGCCACTGACATGCCACAACCTCAGTCTCAGAGACTGCATCCAAGGGTATGAAAGTCTGATTTCTGCTGTCTCTGTCATTGAATGCTGCAAATTCCATCAAGCTTGCATCTATGCAGGACCAGATGATAACTTCCTAGAGGGGTCTACATGCTTACAGAACTTAATGCATCTAAAATCTTCCCACTAAAATATGGGGCTTGGTAAAAGCTTGACTGGTTTATCATGAACCCAACATTTGCAACAATTCACTAACCCCTGCATGAGCTGAATTTTGTCAAGCTTCAGACCACAGTCTTCTTCCTAAATCCCACAAGAGGCCTCCCATCTCCCCTGTATTTTACATTGATTCAAAATAGGAGACCAGCAGCCTGCAGTCATCATTCCCTAGATCACATATTTACAGGAGAAATGTAGCAGCCATCAGGGAGGTGCAGAGATGGGAGTCAGTTGCCAGGGACTAGAATTGATAGAAAGAGAAGCTCAGATGGGGAGGCAGAGGAATAGCATCTCACTCTGAAGGCTACTAGGAGGGATCTCTCAGTTTTGTCCGAGGTAGGAACATCCCAGTGCAAGGGCTACATATACTAATTACAAGGCAGCTGCTTTGAAACTATTGTATATTAGGTCAGCAATAGATGGAAGTCACAAAGCTTAAGCAGGAACCAGTTTCCAGGCAAATTATTTTAGTTTACTTGAGATTCCTAAGGGAGATTTCAGTTTCCTTCAGACACCTATTGCAGACTGCAACAGGGAGCAACTTCAGAGAAGTTCCAACAGTTAAAGTATCAGACATTGCAATTGTCTTGCAGAATTTTCTTTGCACTTTTCTGCAACCAAAATTGTAGCTCATGGTTTCAAATGGATGGAAAATGTACAGATTTCTTGAAGTTGAATTCTTATTAAGTAAACAACTTGTCTCAAGGAACATGCAGAGAACCACTGGAGCCTTAAGTTTCTTGCACTCTAGCTGTGTATTTGTTTTATAATCAGACTTTCTTTGGGCAAACACTTCCACAAGGTCTCTTGGATCAGTGCCAGCTAGTTACATCAGGGTTTTTTATTTCACTGATTAAATAAGAAAACTAGAGTTTTTGGTTTCACTCCATTGACTTTATTGTAGCCTCCTCTTACACAGCACTGCATTTTGAGAACCATTAAGTACATCTTTTGGCATAGGAATTTTATAACATCTTCAAGTTGCAATATGTCCATATGAAAAATAAAAGCCTGATATGTGTTACCATTTCTCCTCTCCAAAATAAAAAATGCGTCATTCCTTCACACTCCCAGTAAAACCTGCATAAATAGTAGTTTCAGGTTGACCAGCAATCCAAAGGTAACTTTGCAGGTAACATAATATGGCAGTGAGTGGGTAATTCTTATATTATCTCAACGTGATTTAATAAGACCAATGTCCCAAAATATAGAAGAGCACAAATTTCTTCACAGAAAGAGACACAGCATGATAGGCAACTGATGATAGCACATGCACTTGTTTGAGGTATTTAAATAATTTAAGTTTATCACTGAAAACTCAGTGTGAATAAAACTGCCTTAAAAATTCTCTACCTAGAAGCACTGTTGAAAGTATTTAAGCTATTTAAAAAGTGATCAACTCAACTGAAAAGTCTGTACAGATAAAAATAAAATGTGCTTCACATCTTACACCAATGAAAACTAGTCTAGTGATTTTCCTAGTTAAAAAAAGTCTCAAAGATTAAACGTTTTTTAGATGCAAAAGAAGAAATCATTTATTGATTCATTTATAAGGAATGTTTACTCATCCATGGTGGCTATCCCCAAATAACAATAACAGTATAACACAGGTGTTTTACTAAGACAAACTACCATTGTGATGCAATGCGATGTGGTGGAACAATTAGAATTAAGATTTTCCAACTCTTGAGTTTTAATACTAACTTTATCCACAATTCCCAAGCTCCACCTTAAGAACATTGTTTCATCTCTGGTTCTAGTTCTGCTCATAAAAAACAGGAACAAAAATTCACTTCCTTATCTT